GCGGAGGCACGGCCTCCAGAGCAGCGTCTGTGAGGCCGCCCCAGGGAGGCAGCTCACTCACCTGCTTCCGATTCGCTCCAAACTTACCAGGACAATGTCTTCTAACCCTCCTCTTGCCCTCCCCTGGTTCCCACTCTCTGCATGTCCTGCAGTAAGCATCCCTCAAGTACAATTGCCATCTAAGTAATAACATGGAAAATATCAAAAGGCTCACTAATCGACAATCATGTCAGAGCACCTATGCTTGAAATGTCTACCAGAGATTGAATGAAAAGTTAATAATAAAAGTGCAAGTGTAGAAAAAAAGTAATAAGATAAAATCCAACCATGAAAAGTACTCGCTACACAGATATTTGTTTTGTCTTTGAAAAAAAAAAAAAAAGATTTTTAATAGAGAAAAACTAAAAACTTTAGGTGGCATTTTGTGTGTGTGTGTGTGTGTGTGTGTGTGTGTGAGAGAGAGAGAGAGAGAGAGAGAGAGAGAGAGAGAGAGAGAGAGAGAGAATTGAAAAATGGAATAATTTTTGGACTTGCAGTCTTCTAAGTAGAACCTAAAATATTTTCCAAGTTTAACTGATTTTAATAAAACATTAGCTCTTGTATATCCCAAAAGAAAGCGACAGTTCTATTAAAATTTTCATTGAAAACAAAATCCCCATTGTTTCCTGTGCCACTTATTTATTCCAGTTTATCAATGACTCAAGATATAAAAGCAGATATACTGATTAATCAAGTCTTATTGATTAGTATTTCACACAAATGTCTGCAGCACAATTTTTTCCAATCAAGAATTTATAAATCAATTTAAATTCCTGGTAATTAAATTTACTAGCTCTGTAACAACCACTGTGGCACTTTATGTAAAAGCAGTATGTGAGATCTGTACTCAAGAATATATTGATCAAAGGCAAAACAGCAAACATTTCTATTAAACCAGATTCTTAGGACCAGAGTAGAAAGTACCAAACATCATAGCCTGCAATTGTTTCAAGTACACCCAGCAATTCTGCTGATTTGGGACCAGTGAAACTGATTACTTAATGGGGCAATCATTCAAGGCATCCAAACAGACAAAAATAGGGAATCATTAGCATACCCATCTTCACCTTGAGATAAAAAATTTTGAAAGATGTTGCAGACATTTAAAGTTTTGGAATCTGGCCCCATTTTTAAACTAAGGGGGGTGTGGGTAAGAATCTAAAAAGTGACAGCCAAAAATTCAGGGGGGAAAATAATGTATCTATAATTATATCATTATCTTCTCAGCTAATATTTTCAACTATCTTAGAAATCTCAAGTTTTATACAGATTTTCTCTATAGATTCTTGGAAGTACTATTTCTTTTTCTCCCCTCTGGCCATACTCTTGTGCTATTAAAAGTAATTAATGAAATCTCTGCTCTCTTGTATTTCTGTCTTAAGTACCTGCCTACAACGAGATTTCCAAAGTTCTTGCCCAACATGAATAAAAACACACAAAAAGATTTTCTATTTATGGGAAAATAAATGATACTGGAAAGTTAGCCATGTAAGTCTTTAATATAACTAAACACACACACACACACACACACACACACACACACACACTCACACACACTATGTTTTCACTCAGAAGATACCAGAGACAATTTTAAGACTCTCACTAATCTGGTACAGCCAGGAGAAAGAAAACTATTCTCTGCTTATTTAAAAAAAGATGGATCCTGAAATATTCCAAAGAGGCTCTACAAACTGTCTTTTTAAGAGAAGAGAAAAGCAAGTCAACTCACATATCCAGCTTCCAAACAGAAGTCTTACCCTCTTCCAGGAAAACAACAATGAGACTTTATTGCCCTGCTATGATTCTTTCATTTCAGACATGATTAATTAGCAAGTATTACACTTCCCAAAAACTCCCACCACACTCTTTGTGGTCTATCATCCTAGTTGTTGATAGACCCATATGAAAGAGCAAGTAACCACCAGCGGTATACAACAAGTATCCAAAAAACTCTTCTCTCACATCTTTGCCTCCCAAAATGAAGCAGCAGGCTGCTTTTAACAGCTCTCTCTCTCTCTCTCTCTCTCTCTCTCTCTCTCTCTCTCTCTCTCTCTCTCTCTCTCTCTCATAAATAAATAATCACATTTTTTAAAAACGTACTCATTTTCTTAACAATACCTTTTACCATCTGAATAAGGCATGCAACATATTCAGTATTCGAGAATACAGGGCACATTTAACCTGTGTCCTACCTCTGTTTTTAAGCTGAAGTTTTGAAAGCCTTGTGAGTCCATGTAGCTTATATTGATAACCATCCACATGCACAATTAAGAAACAATAGAAAGAATGTGAGCAAGCATGTTTGGGGGAATGGATTTTATAGGGGGAAAAAAGTTTATTTTCCAAATAAAAGCTAACATGTCACACATGCAGTGAAGATAGGAAATAGAAATAAAGGACGGAAAGAAAAGACAAAAAGAAGAGGGCAACTCTAAAATGTGAATGAACCTAAACTCTGATCTCTGCAGATTGCTCCAAAACACTCTTTCAATATAATTTTCCCTATAATCATTAATGCAATCAACTTTCACACTGTCCATGGGAACCAAGAAGCCAGCCATAGCTGAATGTACTATAAATATATATTTTAACAACCAACCATTCATAAAGACTCGGGTTTCCCCCTTCAACTTTTCAACTCTTGTGTCAAAAAAACACACAAACAAACAAAAAAAAAACTTCACATAGTACAATACTAATAAATAGATCTTGGTTCCAGGAAACAATTTAAAAAAAAAATCTATTCTGGTCAAAATACCCTTGCTTTTTTTCTGTTGTATTAAATTTAGGATCAAAAACATCAAAGCAGCTTCCACCTCGGACCTAACTTTTAGGGGATCAATGTGACAAGGCAGTCCCTGATAGATGTTTCTCTTGATAAACGACTTGTTCAAAAGAGACATTGTAGCTTTCATTTCCTGACCACAACACACTTTTAATTTGCAACAGCAGAGCTGCCAGAGTGTGAGCACTCGCCCACTTTCCAGCCTTTTAGGTTTGCAGCTCTGGTTCCTTTAGGCCAAACATCTGAGACAGAAATCTAAAAATAATCCCAGTAATAGAATTACAAAATAGGAGCCACTCACGCCACTTTATACACATACACAAGTGTCTGCTTGATAGATAGAGACATAAACTTTTTCTCCCCGAATTCTAGGGTAGGATAACAAGGGTCCCGAGTGAACATCATTTGCACAACGGGCATTTAACTCCCAGGGAAATAAATTATGTGACTATTATTTAATAGTAAGCAGAGCCTGAGTGGGGGGCGATTTACACACTCAAATCTGGTGCTAAATGCCATGAATTATATGATTGCCTAACCCAATGTGTGTGTGTGGTTTTTCCCCCCACATATTATTGCAATGCTTATCATTACTACTACCCAGAAATCACACTTAAGTATCAATAAGGTAAACAGTCAAACCATCCAATTTCTGCTCTCCGCACATTGTCTGAGCTCCGATTTAAAATTTATAAATGTAATATCCTCCTCATCACAGGCAGCAGCCCAATCTGCTCTGAATATATATTACAGCTTTAACATCACAGAGGGAAATCGCCCATCTGGCAATCCCATTCGCTCCAACAGCTCCGGGGGAGAAAAAAGCTGTGCTCTCTCCTCCTCAAAACATTTCTCAGGGCAAATTATGTGCATCTAAAATAAACAGTCTCCTTATTGATCGCTTCAAAGTCAACAAGTTCCAAATGCAAAATTCAATCAAATCCTTCCTATCGGGGAAGAGCGGTGTGTGTTTAGCTCGATAGTCACCAGAGTCCAACCAGAAGTGCGTGTCGCGCCACGCTGGCTCTTGCCGTCCCTCTCCTTGTGTTCACATTCGTGGTATGGGAGAGCAGGAACCACCGCCACATCACAGACCCCTGGCAGCTCTGGCCCACTGCTGATTGTTTCTTTCCCATTCTCCCTTTCCCTTCTTTCTCTCTTTTCAGGGGGAATGCGTGGTGGTCCTCGGGCAAAATGTACCCAAAAAGAAACAGGGTAGAGTGGACATACCCTTTGGTTATGCAAAATACTTTGAACATCTTTTTGTTGCTGCTGTTGCCTCTTAGTCTTAATTGAATATCACAAAGTGTGTACACACAGCATGGTCACAAGAGCTATTGAAAACCCCCCTCTCACTCCATTTATCTGACCTTCTTTCTTTTTTCTTTTTTTTTGTAAAGAAAGAGGAAAGAGCGATTTCAAACAAAGTCAATTTCAGTGCCTGATTATTTAATTCTGTCACAGGTTAAAAGTAAAAAGCGTTGACAGGCAGACAAGTGAATGGCAAGTAAAGAAAAAAGAAAAACAAAAACAAAAACCTATCACTGTTCCTGAAAAGGCATTAAGCACTTTAAGCAATCAAAATATATTTTTAAATTCATGTGAAAGCTGTCCCTTCATAACTCACCCCCCGAAACAGACACACACACACCACACACTCAGAAGAACTGATTACTCCACCAAGTGCAATCATTGAGAGAGCCCATAGTCCAATTGCATTAATAGATTGAGAGAGAAAAATTCACCGCTCTGTGTGTGTACATATATATATATACAGATATATACTTTCATTAGTAAGCAGTCTTTCCCTACAATCCCACCCTCTCCCCTTTTCACCCAGACCCCTCCCCAAAAAACCCCACACTGAGTTTAACTAATTTACATACCATTTGACTTCAGTGGTTACACAGTGCATTACTAGTAACATGCAACTTTGGGATTACAGCTAAACCGATATAAGTGGACTCCAGTAATCTATGACTCAAAACTGAAATAGATAAACATGTGATAGCAAAAAAATAAGCATTTTGAGAGATTAAAATATACTTCTTTTTTTTAAATGAATTCTATATCATGAGCATCTGCTTCCCAAACAGGGTTTCTACGGTTTGATCATGCCATTTAATTTGTCTTTCTTATTTAGAGGCAAAGGAAGTAAATTCCAAAACTGACATACCATAAACACTGGTGCTACTGATCATTTCTTGCTGGCAGCACAAAAAGCTGAATTGGATTTCTCACAAGCAGGAATTCCAAAGGTTGCTTTTCATTAAAGCCACTTTTCCTCTCAGCTATCAAATGTCACTGCCTTGAAACGTGGGCCCTTTCGTCAGGTATTCATTTAACCTACATGCATATAATTAAGGGGGAAAGCAACATCAACAAAAAGGGGATCTCAGATCACAGGAGAAGAAAGGGGGAGAGAAAAAAAAAAAAAAAAAGCACATGACCAGGAATGCAAGTCCATGTCAATTTCACTCACTCCCATTGAAACTAACAAGAGCTCCGGGAGGACGGTAATAGGATCAGTGGATTGTATATACCATTAAATTATACATCTTTCTCTCTCGGCCCCGGCCAACAATACGCCCACCACGCTGCTGTGCCCCCTCCGAGACGAGGTGCTTACATTTTTCTGCAACCGATCTCCTGACAAGATCACGTCCCCCCAGCCGAGGGAGGGTAATTTAACCTCAACTTTTCTGTGTGTGCGAGATTCTTATTTACACTTCTTATTTACTTATAAGTTAGTTCCCCAAGAAAGTCTCAGCCCCACCCTATGGCTCCGCTTTCTTCTTCTTCTTTTTATTTTTTTGTATTTATTTTGGAAGTAAAAAAAAAAAAAAAAAAAAGATAGTAAATAAGTAAGCACAAGACAGCGGAAAACGAGATTCTTGCCATCGCGAACTCTTCATCCCACACGATTGTTACAATGATCAAGCAGCAATAATAATAATAAAATAAAATAAAATAAAATGCATTCTAACGTTCCGGGGCTACTTTGTAACAGAGAAATTAGACAGCAGGTTGGCGTACCGAGCAGAAGAAACGAGTGCACACATCCAGTTCAATGTTTATGGCACAACTCGGAGGTCCCCCTTTCATTACAGGTCTTGGATGTATGCATAGAGTCTTTTTTTAAAAATAAAACAAACAGAAACAAAATAACCCCCCCAACACATCTTAAACAGATGGTAAGCAAACTAGCGAAGCTCCCCTTACCTGAAGGCGCGGGGCGAGCAGCCGATAGGTCAGCGTGGCATCGATCCGCCGCGCCCGCCGGTGAATGGGAGCGGGGGTGCAGCGGGGGCGCCTAGGGTTTGAAATCATTCCAAGTTTTTGAAGGGAAGACGGACTGCAGCCTCTGCCATGTTGGAATTTCAAACCCAAAACAGCTGCTTGCAAGGAGAGCCAGCGTGCCAGAGGCGGGGCGCAGGCGCAGAGCGCCGCCGAGCCAAATTCAAATCACTTTCACACCGAGAGCCCGCGATCGGCTTTCCCGGGGCGCGGGGCGGCGCGGGGCGCGGGGCGGGCGGGGAGCCGGGCGGCGGGAGCACCGCGGGGAGCGGGAGCGGCGCCCGGAGCCCGGGGAGCCGGCGGGGGAGAGAGGGGAGCGGGAGGCGGGCGGGCAGGCGGGCAGAGACGCGCCAGAGATTCACGGGCGGCGGGGAGGGCTCAATGGCCGCGCCGGCCGGCCGGCCGCTCGGGTCATGTTACACGGCCCGGGCCCCGGCGGCCGCCCAGCCTCGCCGCCGACGCGCTCACGCGGCCCGGAGGGGGCCCCGGGGTCATGATGACGCGCGCGGGGACCGGAGCGCCCTGGGCCCGCGCGCTCTGGGCGGCTCAGCCCGGGGAGGGGGTTGGGGAGGGGGGGAAGAGGGGCGCAAATCGGGGGGGAGAAAGGGCCTGTCCTTCTTCCCACGCCGCGATCAGCCGGCCCTGGCGCTCCCCGCCGGCCTCGGAGGGCCCGGGCCCGGGCTGCGCGGCTCTCCGTGCCCGCGGGGCCCTCCCCGTGCGCCCCCGGCCCCGCTCCAAACAGCCGCGGCCCGCGCGCCCCTCCCTGGCGCTCTGGGCTGGGCTCCGCGCGCCCCGGGAGCCGGGACCTCACCCGCACCCTCCCCTGGGCCAACGCACCAGCCAGACCATGACTGTCCGCCAAGGAGAGGCAACTTTGAGGGGGGAAACCGAGTGAACCCTGTTGTCCTCCCCCGCCTCCCTGCGAATAAATAAAGCCCTAAGTGTCTAGGTGTGCGGTCCACGCTCCGGCTCCCCGGCTCCCCTCCCTCCCTGCCTCCCCCAGGCGGCTCGAGCGGGGGAGCACAGCGCCCGGGGGCCCGGGGCGGGCTGCGAGGGCGCAGGCAGAGGCTTGAGGCTTCGGCTTTCCCAGCCCCCCTTCTGGGGAGCAATCTGGGGACCCAGGAGTGGGAAGAGAGAGTAGGGGCTTTGTAGTGCTGGGAGCTGAGGAAGAATGAAATGTGCAGTTGAGTGTGTTGCTCGCATCCCAGGGAGCAGTGCAGCGCTGATTGTGTGTTGCTGAGATAGCCTTTTGTTCGGAGCATAAGGTTTTGAGAAACACACACATTTCCTGGGCTCGCTTGTTAGATGTAAATGTGCTCGCATCCAGATGCTTACTGTGTAGTGTAAGCTCAGTTGGCTTACTAATCACCCCGCCCCACCCCCAAACAACCGGGATCATTTGAATGGGAACCTCATTCAGACTTCTAGGCTTCCAGGTTTTTTTTGTGGGTTTTTTTTTTTTTTTTTTTTTTTGCCTTCAACCTATTTCATTCTAGGCTAGCCAACCATCCAACTGAGATAATAAAGCAAACAATAACATTTGATCATGATGTCTATGAGATAATGTGCCCCGGCAAAGTTCTTTAGGAATTGTAATGAGAAAGAGAGTGGAGTGGGATAATAATTTCTCTTTTCATTAAATAGGACTTTAATAGATAAATGGTTAAGTTTATCCTTTGGCCTAGTGGACATCCAGTCCTCTGTATTTTAAGGAAGCTTAAGAATGAAAGAGGCAAATTATATATTCGACCAGTGGCTCATCAGGCTTGGAAATATTACCTTTGAAGGCTGGGACAGAAAATATACTTGTTTAGGACTGCCTTTCCTCGCATTTCCCCTGCTTTTCTGCTGTAGATTTAATACACTACATTCTGTCTCTCCGTGACGAAATGAAGTGTTTTTAAAATCCAGATATGGACATGGAAATTTCCTTCTGTTGTGATTTTCTTACCTTTCGTAGCCATTGAGTGGATGCATTTAGCTAACAAGATGAGAAAGGATAATCATTTTAGTTGAATCTAAACAGATGCCAGCGTTTAAAAGACAAAAGAAAAGTGATTTAAGATCTTACCAAATATTTCTAAGGAATGAGATTTCTCTTTGGAATGAGTTTGACCTTTCTCTGCATTTTTTTTTTTAAACCAGGCTTCAAAATAAAACAGAAGAACTTTATTCTGATGTAACAGAGAACACTGAAGCCCCTTTAGTTATATTTTACAAGATATCTTTGAAAATGATATTAGGAAAAGTTACGCATTGGGTTTCACCACAAAGGAATAAGTGTAGAAAAATCTCTATGGGTCACTGTTAGATTGAGCACAGACGAATTAAAAAGAAACAACAACCGCGAAGAGCTTATAATTTCCCTTATTGCCCATTTGGAGAATGACGACAAGAGGTCCTCTGGACACAGCAGATGCTCTGTGCAGTTCAAGCAAAACTGTGCTGTCCTTGTTCGTTAAAAAAATGTTCAAAGCACATCCACCTTTAACACTAAATTCTAGCATTGAATTTACAGTTCTTCATGTAAACCAAAATATTGAATAAAATAAATATATATATAAGGGGATACCCACTGAATAGAAACAATATATTTTGATGACTGACTTAGAGCAATTTATTTTCAATATCTAAAACAAAATAAGTCTTACTTTTAAAAGGGGTCAGGAAGAACTTTTGGTTAGCAGGATGTTTACTAGTAAAGTAGTATCTTTTCCAATTCTCCTATGTTCATTTCAAGTACAGATTTAAAATCTATATTCAACATACAAATGAATATAATTAACTTTGCAATCAAAGAAAGGGAAACTATTTAAGAGTCCTGTGTAGCCTGGGGGAATGTGGCTCAGTGATTGAGTTCTGGCCAATGAACCAGGAGGTCACTCTTCAATTCCCAGTCAGGGCACATGCTCAGGTTTCAGACTCCATCCCCAGTAGGGGGCGTGCAAGAGGCAGAATAAATGATTCTCCCTTGATGTTTCTATCTCTCCCTGTGCTGTCCTCTCTCAAATCAATAAAATTGTATGTACTCCTGGGAAATAAGGCTTATATAATAAAATTTACCTTATAAGTTTTGTATGACTAATAAAATTCAAAAAGAAGTTTGTCATCTCACTATTTCTAGGGTGTTTTTTTTTTAAGGTATATATAAAGTTTATTTTTATCCGTTTACTTTTGCCCAAAGTAAGATGAAACTTAATTTTGTTTTTTGAAAAGCTTCATTTTTCTGTTGAAAAATTACCACATTTTAAAGATTTTTTTAAAAATATAACTATCTTTAATGAAGTAGTATGATTAAATACCATTTTAGCAGTCATCATATCTTATCTACACTTCATTTTTAAACTTTTACTTAAAAAATGTTTTTGGTTGTAACTGAAAAATCTATCCCTCAGTATATTTTATGAAACTTGTGGTGATAGGAGAATAAGAAATTTAGTCTTTAAAGGAAGTTGATTGATTAATCAAGGAAAGAGTTAATTCAGTGGAAAAAATTGACTAATTTTTTTCCTGCTGCATTAATCACCTGCTTACTTCTGTTTAAATATTTTTTAGTGTAGAGAGAACAAATATGATGAATTTCTAATGCACATTATTTCTGACTTTGTTTTTTAAAGAAAATCAAAAGAAAAATAAGCATTAACTATTCTTGTTTTCCTTCAGAGGGAGTGTGTGTGTGTGTGTGTGTGTGTGTTCTCTCTCAAGCTAATTCAGAGAATAATAATTCTACTTTTCCTGTTCTTATTCTACACATAGAAGCAACAACAACCACAGTGAAGGGTAAGGAAATGATCAAGGTGATATTGAATGTGATTTTGCAGATGACCATATGCTTGTCTGCATTGAACTAAGAATAATGTGACCCAGGTTAGACAAGGAGATGTGCTTTGCCTATGTCAAGGGAGAAGAAAAGGAAAGCAAGCAAAAACATTCAGGTGGACAGAGCAAAGAACAGAGATGAGGGTGACAAGATGCTTTAAGAACAAAACACGTTTTAGGGAGCATTAATGCTTGGTTTTTAATGAAATGCTAAACACAAGATAGTTTGCTTTTTAAATACCACTTATAGTTTCAAACTCAAATATGAACTCTTTTGATAAACATTAAACTGTTAATATCTTCTTCCAAACAACAGTGTTTCAAAGAAATCTTCTAGGGTTTAGTAGCTATTTATTAGACCTAGATGATTTTGTCATATTGCTCACAAAATCTAAAGTAGGTCTTATATAGTGCAAATTACTGACTCAATTTATATTTTTAAATGTTTCCATACAATTGCAATTTAGGACTTTTCATTTGCACTTCAATTCAACTAAGACTACTAAGAAGTCCTTATTTCTTCCCTTCCCCCTCCAAACATACAAACAAAAACAAAACAAAAAATAGCAAAGATCTTGACCTCATTTGAGTAAAATTACTCAATTTGTTAGAATTACACTTGAATACAGATACTGTCAAATGGTATTAGGGTGGTCCATATATCTCCTTCAAGATCTAACCCTACAGTGGAGAGACAAGTGAAAAAGCCTGTGGGAGGTTCACTGGAGATACTTTTTGGTTATGCAGAAGTGTTTTCTTCTAATAATGTGAGGGTTACGGTTTTTTATTCATTCTTTAAATGGTGGTAGTATCCATATATTTGCTGCAACCTCTGCCTGATTTTGCATAATTCTCAATTTCATACTGAACTTACTATAGTGAAAAATATTGCTAAAAGTATTGCTCCTCCAACCCCCCACCTTGCTCTAGCTGGTTTGGCTCAGTGGATAGAGCATAGGCCTGCGGACTCAAGGGTCCCAGGTTTGATTCTGGCCAAGGGCATGTACCTTGGCTGTGGGCCATTCCCAGTAGCGAGTGTGCAGGAGGCAGCTGATTGATGTTTCTAACTCTCTATCCCTCTCCCTTCCTCTCTGTAATAAATCAATAAAATATATTTTAAATAAAAGTATTGCCCCCCCCCCCAAAAAAAAAAAATTGCAGAGGATTTAAAGAAAATAAACATTAACCACTTTGGAATGAGATGAGATAAATATAGTTCAAAGTGAATGTTGTAAGTGACTCATAAAGAGGTTCTGGCCAGAAGAAGATATAGATTCTTTCATGAAGAAGAGAACAGTTTTCCTGGACTTGGTAATCTTAACCTTTATGCTCCCATGCAACAAACCACTTAAAGTTTGCATAT